CTGATCAAATGGATTGCTTTGTCCAAGATGGTGTAAAGATTCTTGAGTGTTGTTGGGGAGTCAGGAAATGTGTTGCACTTTTGAGTCATGATCTTAAGAAACACAACTATAATATTAAAGAAATAGTCCGGAGGGAGGAGGGTAACTTCTTCAAGGTAGGCATCCTTTAGAAGATGCTTCGCAGTGGGGTTAAAATCGATTCAGAGATAGTGGGAACTGCCGATGCTGGAGATCTGAGATAACAAGATGTAAAGGGCTCACCTTTATCCCCCTCCACCCTAACATCAACGAATACTGCTCACGCTTGGACGTTGAACAGTTTTTCCGCCACCGCCGTCTCCACCTCCGCGCTTACTTCTTTAATCGTGAGCCCAACCCTCCCTGTACTGACCCCTTCTCCCACCTCCAACACATCCCCTCCTCCTCGACACCACCCCAAGGCCTCCTACCCTCCCTCGATCTCTTCATCTCCAAATGCCACCGAGACATCAATCGCCTCAACCTCTCCACCCCTCTCACCCACTCCAACCTCTTCCCGCACAGAACATGCAACATGCTCCAATCCCAACCTCACCACAAAACCCGCGGACAAGGGAGGCACAGTTGTAGTCTGGCGCACTGACCTCTACATCGCCGAGGCCAGACGCCAGCTCTCTGACACCTCCTCCTACCGCCCCCTTGATCATGACCCTGCCCTTGATCACCAAAACATCATCTCCCAGACCATCCACAACCTCATCACTTCAGGTGACCTCCCACCCACAGCCTCCAACCTCTTCGTTCCCCAACCCTGCACGACCCGTTTCTATCTCCTTCCCAAAATCCACAAACCTGACTGCCCTGGTCGACTCATTGTCTCTGTCTCTGCCTGCTCCTGCCCCACCAAACTTATCTCCACCTATCTCAACTCCATTTTCTCCCCCTTGGTCCAGGAACTCCCCACCTATGTCTGTGAGACCACCCGCACCCTCCACCACCTCCAAAACTTCCGATTCCCTGGTCCCCAGGTCCCCAACACCTTATCTTTACCGTGGACGTCCATTCCCTATACACTTGCATTCCCCATGCAGATGGCCTAAAGGCCCTCCGCTTCTTCCTGTCCCGCAGGCTCGACCAGTCCCCCTCCACTGACACCCTCATCCGCTTAGCTGAACTCGTGTTCACCCTTAACTTCTCCTTCAATTCCTCCCACTTCCTACAGACAAAGGGGGTGGCCATGGGTACCCACGTGGGCCCAAGCTATGCCTGCCTCTTTGTAGGATACGTGGAACAATCCCTCTTCCGTACCTACACTGGCCCTATCCCCCACCTCTTCCTCCATTACATCGATGACTGTATCGGCGCTGCCTGGTGCTCCCACGAGGAGCTCAAACAGTTCATCCACTTCACTAACACCTTCCACCCCAACCTTAAGTTCACCTGGACCATCTCCAATACCTCTCCCTCCTTCCTGGACCTCTCTGTTTCCATCTCTGGCAACCAGCTGGAAACTGATATCCATTTCAAGCCCACTGACTCCCACAGCTACCTAGAATACACCTCCTCCCACCCACCTTCCTGCAAAAATGCCATCCCCTATTCCCAATTCCTTCGCCTCCACCGCATCTGCTCCTGAGATGAGGCATTCCACTCCCAGACATCCCAGATGTCCTCGTTTTTCAAGGTCCACAATTTCCCCTCCACAGTGGTCGAAAACACCCTTGACTGCGTCTCTTGCATTTCCCACAACTCATCCTCACACCCCCTCCCCGCAACAACCAAAACAGAATCCCCCTCATCCTCACGTACCACCCCACCAACCTCCGGATCCAATGCATCATCCTCCGGCACCTGCAATCTGACCCGACTATCAAAGACATTTTTCCCTCCCCACCCTTATCTGCTTTCCGGAGGGACCGCTCTCTCTGTGACTCCCTTGACCACTCCACGCTCCCCACCACCCCCGGCACTTTTCCCTGCAACCGCACCAAGTGTTACACCTGCCCTACACCTCCCCCCTCACCCCCATCCCAGGCCCCAAGAAGACCTTTCACATCGAACAGATGTTCACCTGCACGTCTGCTAATGTGGTATACTGTATCCGCTGTTCCCGTTGTGGCCTCCTCTACATCAGGGGAAACCAAGCGGAGGCTTGGAGACTGCTTTATGGAACACCTACGCTTGGTTCGTGACAAACGACTGCACTTCCCAGTCGTGAACCATTTCAACTCCCCCTCCCACTCCTTAGACGATATGTCCATCCTGGGCCTTTTCCAGTGCCACAACGATGCCACCTGAAGGTTGCAGAAACAGCACCCCATATTTTGCTTGGGAACCCTGCAGCCCAATGGTATCAACGTGGACTTCACAAGCTTCAAGTTCTCTCCTCCGCCGACCGCATCCCAAAACCAGCCCAGCTCGTCCCCACCTCCCTAACCTGTCCTTCCTCCCACTTAGTCAGTCCTCCCACCTCAAGCCCCACCTCTACCTTCTACTGACCAGCCTCATCCCCCCCCTCCTTGACCTGTCCATCCTCCCTGGACTGACTATCCCCACCCTAACTATCCACTACACTCACCTTTATTGGCTCCATCCCCGTCTCTTTGACCTGTCTGTCTCCTCTCCACCTATCTGCTCCTTTATCCATCTTCCATCTGCCTCCCCTTCTCTCTCTATTTATTTCAGAATCCCCTTCACCTCCCCCATTTCTGAAGAAGGGTCCAGACCCAAAACATCAGCTTTCCTGCTCCTCTCATGCTGCTTGGCCTGCTGTGTTCATCCAGCTCTACACCTTGTTATCTATAAATCTTAAATGTAGAGTTATTGTTTCAGGCTTTGAGTAAGTGGAAGGGGCTGTGGTCCAAGGAAGAGAAAAGGAAAAGCAGGAAGCAATAAAGGACAAAAGACAAGTGGAGTGGTACTGGTTGTTGTAAAGAAACAAAAGATTTGCCTAAAGAGAGTGTGCATGGCTGAATAATGAACAGTCCACCACCGAAAGCATTAGACAGTATTTGTAACTTTTGATTAAGTGCTATAACTATCACAATGCATTTTCAGTCAGCTGGATACTAAATAAACATGTGTAAGGAGTTAAAAGGTTCTTCAACCAAGTGTGGCAGCATATCAATAACTCGTGCCTCCATCTCTTGTCTTGCCAAACTTGTAACCGGCTCAAACTTGATACTTCAAATATTCTCTTTGGCAATACATCTACTGTTGTATTAGCTAGTTCTTTGCAGTCAGCTCTTCCTTTTAGAAAAAGGAAGGGCTTGTTCGAAGGCAAGCACAAGAAAAATAAATCTGTTATCAATTTTTAAATCAGTACTATGAACATGAAGTGAACACCAATGGGAAGCCAGTTATTAGGCCTGCAAAAAGCAAGTAACAGCATTACTCTGTCACATCTGTGGCTTGAATTTACCAGCCCTGAGGTGGTGGTAAAAGAACAGAGGGAGGTGTCAGAATAGAACCTCCAATGTATTTCAGCCAGTGGTCAACTTTTCTGGAGGTAGTTTGACAACAAGTTCAAGAATACACACATAGGATGCATGTTGGTAATTAACTGACACTTAGAGGTGCTTTTGAAAAGGTTGCATGGAACCATAGAGCCTATAAAGGAGAAATTGTAGACCATTTGCCCTTTCAAACCCACCCCACTATTCAATAAGTTCATGCCTGATCTATTTGTATTCTAAATTCCATGCTCCCATCTACACTTTTAATTTCCATGCCTCGCAAGAATCTGTCCACCTCTGCGTGTAAAATATTCAATGATTCCACCTTCTGTGGAAGAGAATTCTAAGGCCACGTGACTTCCTCATCGCCCTATAAGGGCAACACCTAATTTTAAGGCCATGACTGTAGTTCTGGATGGCCACAAGAAGAAGCATCCACCACTGCAAGATCATTCAGGATCTTTGACCTTTATTGCTAGTTGGCCTATATTGCTGGGGATTGGAATTTAAAAATAAGAGTCTCGTTACAACTGTACAAGTGGTGAGGGCAACACTATTGAAATATACAAGATTCTTTGCCAGAGATAAAGGGGTTCTTAAAAAAAGTCATGAGTTTCCACAGACAACAATTACAAGGTTATCAAGTCCAACAACCTTTTTCATCCCTACTCCAACTTCTTTAGGCAGTGTATTATTATTTCATTCCTTTTCCTCTATCTTCATCTCATTTATACTACAGCTTCATCCACAATAGCTAAAAGGATCCAGGAATATCCTTCCCTTAACTTTCTAGGTAATTACCATGCTCCTGAGGAAATACCTAGAGCATTGCTGAATTCTCTTGCTAAAAATGAATGGCTAGCTGAAACTGTCCCCTGGGTGTGATCTCCATTACCTTCACCCATCTCCATTCCCACCATCAACTTCATTTGGTAGCAACATGATTCCATCAATGAACATATTTTGACCTCTCATTTCTCCACCTTTCATAAAGGATATGACTATTTACTTCATCATTTTATTATTCTTTCACAAACCTCATTTTCAGCTAAAAATAAAAGCAAAATACTGTGGAAACTTGAAATGTACACAGAAAATCCTAGAGAAGCTTAACACATTTGGCAGTATCTATGGAGAGAGTTAACATTTTGAGTTCAGTCGGACTCTTCTCAATTTCAACTGCCCTTTCTTGCTGTCTTCACTCGCATAGAAGCGTCAAGTTGAAGTTGAAATGTTAACTCTCTGTTTCTCTCACAACAGATGCTGCCAGACCTCCTGATTTTTGCCAGCAATTAAGAGTTTTTATTTCAGCTTTCCATCACCTAAAAGCTTCTAGGAATTATATAAAATGCATATAGCATACCTACACATTTTTGCTTTTCAGAATGCTGAAGGACTGACTATGTATGTCCATTACTTTCTGGGTCTTTTTCTGTGTATCTGTCACCCTGGCTAGTTGCATAATACTATTTTCAAAGGTAACAGTTGCATAATACTGGAGATGAAAACAGCAGTATTTGAGAAAGTGTAGTATGAAACAGAACAACATCATGTAGTATGAAACACAAACAGCTTTAATAAATGATTTTGCATTCCAATCTTCAACATTTTGGAAACATCAAGGAAATACTTACAGCATTGCTGAATTTTCTCACGAGATGAGTAATAGGTAAGTGGCTAGCTGGGCTTGTCCCCTGGGTTGTGTAGCTGAATAGCGAGACCCGATTTCCAGAAATGACAGCTTTGGTTACAGTTAAGTATTTGCAATCACCTCAGCAGTTTAGCGATAGTGGTTATTGGTTTCACAATTAATTTAAATCATATTCCAAAAATCTTCATATGATCATGATGTATGATGAAACTTAGCTTTTAAGGGGCTGAGTGTAAAAATAAATCTCTGTTTGAAACACAAGGAAAACTACATTGGAACCAAGTTAATCTCTAGTGACTGAAACCTTACTAAATGTTCTTTTCAACCTGCCATTTAACAATCACAGCATTTCCTCATGATGTTAAGAGTCCAAGATTACAGTGTAAATCGTGTGCGGATAATTTTGAAAAAGGGCTGAATAGAACCTTTTGCCTATAAATTCATTGCACTAGTTTTCTCAATTCGTACCTCAGCTTTCAACAGGGCAGCAGAACCTGATTTCTGCTACTGAGGTTAACAAGGATATAGCAGAGATCAATCATTTAAAAGAGAAAAAAAAACTGGTCATGGCTAGTGGTTGAATGTCATATCCTTCATCCAGTTCATTTTATAAACTTGTATTGAATTTTGTACAAAATGAAATTATAATGCTCCAATTTATTTGTTTTTTATTTTCACCATTTTCTGAGGGTACAGTGTCGATAATAAAAGATAGAGGCTGAACGGTTCCTGACCATTACTGATGCTGCTTCTTGGTCCCTAGAAGTCCTCCAGTGCACCACTGTAAAAAGACTTGAGTCATTCTTCCCACCTTGCAAAGGGAAGGTCCTAAGTCTCACCTTGACAACTTCTACAAAGTACAACTGAGGTTAGGAACTTAGCAGTGTCAGTGTCAACTCAGATACATATCCTTCCATCCAGTAACACTCTAGCTATTTAACCTAACAATGACTTTTGGTGACCTGGTTGAAGGGGCTGGGTCTTGGCTGGAACTCGGAATGCTTGCTATTTGATTGTTTCATTTGATGTGACCCAGTATGCACCAAGATCACTTGTTTAGTAACACTGCATTTGTTTAGAAAAAGTGAACATAATGCTGGACAAGAAATACTCCAGCATTATGTAATGGCACCAGTAAATTTAAATGGGCAAGACCCATCACATCAGCCCTAATCAAAACCACTACTTTTCCTCCCATGCACACATGCACGATAAACAATTTCAATTTCTTTATCAATTATTGCACATAACTCTCACATGGTGTATTAATTTTAAATAATGGTTAACATTTTACAAAAGACTATGGCACGTAATATTAAACACAATGGGTTACTGAACAATGAGCATCAGCCAAAATTATGGCCCTTATTTAAATGTGGTCATTATATAATCACAAAGAGCTAGTAATAATACACAGGTTTAACAGTACAGACAATGTTTGATGAGCTTCCACAGACCATTCAATTTTCGTATTCACAACCAAGCTAAGCATCTTGCGAGAAGTCTGCCCAACCTATTTACTTTTATAGAAGTTCAGTTCGGTGTTGGCACCGCCATCAGATTGCTAATGCATTTTTGCCACCGGTGCTTGTATGTTATGGATAACAAGGCTGACCAGCTTTGGAATGGCACAACTTTTATTTTAGTTCCTTAATTCCAGTTTTCATTGCTTGCTATCCTTGAATGGACAAGTAGGTGTGCGCCACTTGTCTGCTTCACGAAATAAATTATTTTGGCATTTGCGAGGAATAATTTGTCAATGCTTTCATGGGATGTGTCACTGGCATGTCCAGCATTTATTGCCCATCCCTAATCGCTCTTGATAAAGTGTTCTTGCATGGCCTTTTTGAACCACTGCAGTCCATCTGATGCAGTTAGTCCCAGAATACTGTTGTAAAAGAAGTCCCATACTTTTGACCTGGTAATAAGTGCAGGTACAGCAAGAGAATTCCAAGTGAGGATGGTGTGTTGCTTCAAGGGGAACTAGTAGGAGGTGTTCCCATGTGTGTGTTGCAATTGACTTTCAAGGTGGTACAGTCCTTCGGTTTAGAAGGCATTATACCTAGTTCTGCCAAATAGGTGTGGTATTACTTTACATGCAGAGATTTGTAGGTGATTCTTTAAATTCACTTGACTCCTCAAATCTAACTGGCACTAGATTAAGTTTGAAATGTTCCATGAGATTGGACTTGCTAGGAAATCACACTCTGCATTCCTGGTGGTCATTTGCATTGAAAATTGCTGGTAAGATGATACATCTTACTTAAAATGACAATACCCTATAATATTAACTGCACAACAGTTCTCAGTTACACATAGTGCAGGAGGCATTTTCTTTGGCAAACATATGAATCAGAAGTGGAAATATGATTAGAATGGTTACGCATTGTTGAATGATTGGCACAGGTTATAGGTACTGACTGCTGGTCTCTTTTTGTATAAATAGTGAGGCTTTGTTCAAACGGAATAGATTCACAGTTCACTGGATTTTAGCATCATGTTGACATCTGACAGCTGACCGTGGCAGTGTGCTGAGATGAATGAGTTGCACAGTTGTACTTGTGGCTGTTATGTCAACCACAGCAAAGTAACAGGGAGCTGTTATGAATGGAGGCAGCTGTCACCTACCAGGCGTTACAATTTGGATGTTGTTGTTTCAATATAACATTCTTGTAATAAACGCAGTTTTAGAAAAAGTTCCTTTCACAAGTAAAGAATTTGATAACTACCTTTACCTAATAGTACTTTACCGTCTACTTTTTATAAACTAATTGTTTCATGCCTTAGAAAAACTTCTGAGGCAATCTAGCACACTTAGCATATATAATGGGCAATATTTTATTCTCTCCCTGACAGTGTGTTGAGGCAAAGGGGCATTTTATCAGGCAGGTATGAACCCCTGACATCACGATACCTCTGCTCTGATTAAGACTGGGATGGGAAATACAATGGAAGGCCTCATGTCCTATTGACAATTGTGCAGCCCTTAAGTGGGCAATTAACACCCAGCTATGTCCATGGCTTTTGAGGGGGTGGGAGAGGAGGGGCGGTGCTGTGTGTCAAAGCAGGGAACAAGATAAGTAAACACATTGCTTGTGGTTACTTGGTGGATGGTAGCTGGGTCTATCATTCAAAGGCACTCAATGAATGCCCGGTGGAAGAACCAGACAATGGAAGTTTGTTGAGGTAGGGGGAAGGTGGGAGAGTGTTGGTGGGGCGTGGTGGTGGTGGTGAGCCAAACCCTAGCTCTTGCTTCTGGGACACCGTAACCTGCAACCCCACCTCCTACAACCCTCTGTTATCAGTGAGTTCTGGCCTTGAGATGCACTGCAGTCATAGGTCTCTGTTAGGTCTGTTCCCTTCAACGGCCATTGTCTCCTGGGTGGTACTGCCAAAATAAAGAGCTGCCAGCCTTTGGTTGACAGCTCTGTGCAGTGAGACCCACACTACCATGTTTGAGGAAAGCTCACCTGCCATCCCCCACCCCCCACCCCCCACCCCCCCACAAATCTGTGTGCCATCTCCAATGGAGGCAGACTTCAAATCACTTCTGGTGAAATCACCCTCCATCTCTCTCCATCCAGCACCAACACCATACATATGGCCACAATTTATCCATAATTAATTTGGATCATTTATTTCTTATGAAGCTAAACCACCTGTTCAATAAAGCAATGAGCTACACTGTCCTTCTCTGCTGGGACCTTGTTTGAATGAAATGTGTCAGCGAAATGGGAAATGATACCTATGTTGCACCAATTTCAAAATGATTTTGGCCTGTAAGGTTAGAAAGGTATACGAAATCAAACTTTACAGTGGAAAATACCTTCCCTTACAAATTCAAAAGACATTTTTACTTAAACACAACATTGTCAGTGTGCACATAAACTATCTTCTGCATCCTCTGTAATGCAAGAAGGCTTTGTCCCTTGACAATTCTTTAAATATCCTGGATTGTGCAGCATTGCGGTAGACAGTTTTTAGTGGAAGGCACACAGTCCAGGATGAAGGGACAACATTCAGAATTTTCTTCTCATCACAGCTATAGATTGGTGTGTGGCACATCTAGTTCTGTCAGTCTTAGGGCAGAATTCAGACTCAGATCATTGCCACATAAATGCATATATCCGAGTTTCAAATTCAGTGGGAAGGTAGTAAAATGTCAAAACTCCTGGTGCCGTTTTCAAAAACAAAACAAAAAAGATTAAGACTGTCACGATGTATAAACAAGAGTCCCGAGATGTTATCTCACAGCAAGCAAATCAGATTTTTCCCTTCTTCAATCTCTTCCTGCACTTTATCGCTGGATGTTGCGATTTCTGCTTGTGCAGACAGCACTGCACAGAGGAATGTAAGGACAGTGCCACCCACTGCTGTGTAAAAGGCCCAGCCCAGAGAACAGGCACCTAACTGATAAGGTGAAACATCTGGTCCACAATAATCCATCACCTTCTGAGCACCCCATCCAGCAGGATAAAGGATCAGACCAAGAATTAGGAAGAGACCTGAAAGAAATAACAAATTAATTAGTTAAAACAAAAAAAAAGGCACAGTATTGCTATCCAATTGTTTATTTATCTGGGAACAAATTACTGCAGATGCTGGATACTGAAAACAACAAATGCTGGAGATTACAATGGGTCAGACAGCATCCATGGACAGACAGCAAGGTAACGTTTCAAGTCTAAATGACTCTTCAGTCCGTTTGTAACTTGTTTAAAAAGAAAACAATTCCAACCAAAATGTTCTGAACAAATTTGCCTAGGTGTCCCACAATACCAAAATGGTCAAATCAATACAAACACAAGCCAGTACCAAAGCAAACCATTCCCACTCTATTAGGAACAAAATTACAATAATCTTTAATACTAAACATACTATCCCTAATCCTATTTGGCCCCTTAAGGTTATAGTACTTCCTCAGTCTCTAGTAAATTTACGCAGTTGCTCTCTCTGTGGCTCTGGCTCTGGATCTGGATCTATGAAGCTGCTTTCTTCCTCTCTGGATGGTCAGCTAGTCTCTGCTTCTTGCCGTGCTGGTCTCCTCAAAAGGTCTTAGAAGGTTCCAAGAGCTCGAAACATTAGCTTGCCCTCTCTCCTTGGATGCTGTCTAATGCTGTTATTTCCAGCATGTTGATTTATTGAGTTCTGAGGAAGGGTCACCGGACCTGAAACGTTAACTGTGTTTTTTCCTTCACAGTTGCTGCCAGACCTGCTGAGCTTTTCCAGCAACTTTGTTTTTGTTCCTGATGTTGATTTATCTATTGACTTATTATAAAATCTCTTGTCTCTACCAGTTATGTTAACAAATAACTATCAGCCAATTTTTCAATCCTAATGAAACTTTTACAACTTATTTTTATATTTCTTGCTATTTTACATTCATATTCTATTTTTTCTTTATCAATTTCTTGCTCCTCTTGTGTTAAATTCTAACATTTTTTCCAGTCCTCGAGCTTCCAACTTTTATGGCTCCTCTAGAAGCCTTCTCCCTTGATCTAATGCTATCTTTAACTTTCCCTGTTAACCATGGCTTTCAATTTTTTTTCCCCCCCCTCGAGTATATTTGCCTTAAAGGAAGTATATTTTTTGAAAATCAATTCTGTAAATACTAGACATTGTCTCTCGAGATAAACCTGGGGACTCCTGCACTGCCTGCCTGGTCTTTCTACACTGTCTACTGGCCACCCACTGCCTTTATGGCTGCTTGGTCATACTTTATCCTATATAATTCTTCAATTTGTACAAAATGCACCACTGTCATTCCAGTTGCCACTCTACTTCCACATTCCATTGATGCATGAAGCTTTACTGCTACTACGAGGGTCAGCAAATAAAAGGTCATCATACATCAAACATTTTAAAAATTTATTGCATTTATTGCCCTTGAGCTGAGTGGCTTATTAGGGCATTTCAGAGACAGTAAAGAGTCATTACATGTAGGTCAGACTAAGTAAGGTTGGCAGATTTCCTTCCTTAAAAGATCACTGGTGAACCAGATGAGTAGGACAGTTGAGAATGGTCTCATGGTTACCATTAGGCTAGCTTTTCAACACGAGATTTTTAAAATTACATTTGAAATGTCGCCACCTGCCACAGTGGGATTTGAACCCTTGTTCCCAGAATGTTAGCATTTACTAATCTAGTGATATCACCACTATGCCAGAATCTTCCCCTATTCTATTTTGCTCAGTGCTACTTGGTAAATGATTTCAGTAATAGTGTTGCTTTGTTTTAATACATTCCTTGTTACTGGTCTGGTATGAAGATTTGATAGAATCTTCTTCCTTACCCCGATATACTGTCTTTGATAAATTGCACTGTTTATATTTCTCAAGTATGTCCTGTCAGCTATATTTCTCTTGTTTCTACTTCACTGGTAGAACAAACAAACACGTGGGAAATGTTCTACTTCAAAAAGGTAGGAAACAGTGGATTATCCGTTGCATTTTTTATTATAATGGCATCCCTTGAGAGAAAATGAACATAGCTATTCAATCTGTAATATTTTACTTAAAATTCTGAACACAAATTATTTAGAATATAAATCAAAACAAGTCTCCAACACCTAAGACACATATCGCACAGCCTTTAATAAGAGTCTCAGATCTGGCATTATAAAAGGCACTACAAAAATTTCCTATTCATTTTTGGAAGCACATCTGCTATCCTTCTGTTGCTCTTTGCCTAGATTCATTTTTAGCTACTGTCTGCAATAAGTTTGTCATCATACATGAAAATAATTGAAATACATGTTATAATTTAGGTAATTAACATCTAAAATATGTAGCGCAAGGTTTGACTTCAGTTTGTCACACACTGACAAAAGTCTGTTCAGGGATCAAAGGAAAAAAGTGCTAAATGACAATGGTTTAGTTTATTACACCTTACAAATGTTTCAATGAGAAGTTCAGTTTAGGAAACCTGGTTGGCACAGACTGGTTAGGCCGAAGGGGCTGCTTCCTTGCTGTATGACTCTATAACCAAAAGGAAAATTAAAAGCTAATTGATAACAGTTCAGTTTATCTCACTTTGCAACTGTTTCAATGAGAAGGAATGTCTCTAGTAGGTAGTGTATATGGTGTAGTTCCTTAGTGTTGAATCAAAAGGGATCAAACATGTTTGCTATTATTAACAGAAAGTTGCTTTTTAGTTCCTAATGGAGACCCATTTTTAAGAGTGAGGTAGCTCCAGATTAGAACTTTGGTAAATTAGAGCAAGCAACTTCCAAAGTGATTCAGATAATAACTGCTGAAGGGACAGAGATGGGAACTGGTGACAACAAGGTGTAGAGCTGGACGAACGCAGCAGGTCACGCAGCATCAGAGGAGCAGGAAAGCTGACGTTTCGGGTCTGGACCCTTCTTCAGAAATGGGGGAGGGGAAGGGGATTCTGAAATAAATAGGGAGGGGGGGAGGCGGATAGAAGATGGATAAAAGGAGAAGATAGGTGGAGAGGAGACAGACAGGTCAAAGAGGCGGGGGTGGAGCTAGTAAAGGTGAGTGTAGGTGGGGAGTTAGGGAGGGAATAGGTCAGTCCAGGGAAGACGGACAGGGCAAGGGGGCGGGATAAGGCTGGTAGGTAGATGGTTCCTCCCACCCCAAGCCCCACTCCCATCTCCTACCTACTAGCCTCATCCCGCCTCCTTGACCTGTCCGTCCTCCCTGGACTGACCTATCCCCTCCCTAA